ACCTGCAAGAAGACCACACTTTTCTCGGGCCATTATCTCCGTAACCGTTCAACTTTGGCCATAGGTGTTTTGGGTTATATCGGCATACTTTAACATAAGGAACACCCTCCCGAAGTTTGGCACATTCCTCCTGGGACGCCCTGTATATACACAGGGTGTCCCAGGAGGAATGTGCCAGACTTTGGGAGGATGTTCCTTGTGTTAAAGTATGCCGATATAACCCAGAACACCTAGTTATGGTTACAGAGATAATGGCCCAAGAAAAGTGTGGTTTTTGGGCGGGTCCACGCACTGTACCTGTCAGCTGACAAGTCTTATCAATGTTTGCCCTTGAGTGTGGTAATTATGGCTCACACTAGCTGCATGCACTCGCATACCAGAATGTGCAGTCAGCCATGTTACGTCAGTGCTTGCCATTCATGTGTCATGTATAGTGCTTGGAACCCTAACGACAACTATGACATGGCGTGCGATTTTTTTGTAGTTCAATTTAATGGCTTCATGTCACTCACAAGTTAGTTTGATGTTATATACATTATTAACATTACAGAAACCACATATTCATGGCAGTTTTAATATGTATTTTGTAATCAACAAGTGTGTAACACCTGTCAAAGTTTTACACTTCTCAGCCATTATCTCCGTAACCGTTCAACTTTGGCCATAGGTGTTTTGGGTTATATCGGCATACTTTAACATAAGGAACACCCTCCCAAAGTCTGGCACATTCCTCCTGGGACGTCGTATATATATATATATATATTTTTTTCCTGCACAGTACTCCAATTTTGCTCAGTCTTTCATCATAGCACTTAGATATATAAGATTTCCTTAAGTTGACTTGCCTGAAGGCTCTGTCCAAACATACTGTAGAAGAAAATTTCTGACTTTGGGGTTATTTATTGTAAAAAGTGCTATGTTTTCTGACACAGAGAGCTTTGCAGAGATCTGTTTCAAAAATGCAAAATTTGGAATCCTGAAGAACTTCTGGCGGAAAACTCACCAGTTAGAGATTGCCTATCTGGTCAGTGTCTGAGATGACATTGGTGGCGATATGCTTGGACACTTTTGCTTGTTAGTAATAATTCTTGATTTCATTTTTCATTTCACTTTACTCAGCTGAATGAATGCAAATTACAATTTTGAATCTCAATTCATTATATCAAAATCCCACACTGTAGGAACTGTATTATAGAAAGTGATGTTATATGAGGGCTGAGGATATACTCATTGTTGATTTCTCTAAAGAAAGGTAAACAAATGAGTAGGTTAACTTAGAATTCTGATTATATAGTAGGTTATTTGTGTAATGATAAATGTTGGGCATGTTCCAAGTATCATTCCTATTCTGTAAAGGAATGAAGGAACAAGCTCATAAAACAACATTTATTCATCATAGTATTGATAAATGAGTCTTTAATTTTGAAGTTTGTCTTTAAAAGTAACTGGTGAAAAACTATAACAGTTGTAAGGTATTTCTGTGATACATGAGTGGTATTAGCGAGATGATTATTTGTAATTTATTAAAAATTTGTCATTTCACAAAGAAATTTTAAAGCTGTGCATGTTTTGTTGGTGGCCTGAAAAGTAGGAACAGTTACAGTTAACAGTATAAATGATATATTAACAATATAGTGGGGTACAAAGAACAACATATTGTCACGTGTTGGGTATGTCACGCGACAAATAAATCCACGTGGGTCTCAGATTCACCGAATCTTTATTGGACTCTCACACTTATACACTGTACAATTATCACCTTAACTGCATGCCACGGCGGCTACCTTCCAACCGTCTTGTATGGTGACTAAATCTCAACTATCTTCAGCGGCAGCTTCCTGAAGACTGTGTTCTGTATCTCTCTGCATCTATCACGAGACTCTTCTTCGGTGGTTATTTCCAGACTGACTTCTCCTTTTCAAAGCTGTGCTATATATACCTCGGCGGTTGCTATACAATGAGCCTTTGTTATAACCGTGGAAACTCATCTCTATGCAATGCTCACTGTTAGAATTACAGTATCGCTATTGTTACTTCCTATGCAACGGTCTGTCCTAGCGTTTCCATAGAAGTGACTCTTCTGGATTCCAAACAGGTTACAGTATAAAACTGGGTCAAATAATCTGAGTAACCCTTATAATTTCTCTCAGGTAAGAGGGTGGAAACATTGCAGAAGTATATGTCTCAGTGGCTGAGGGAGTGCATATACTACCAGTCATCAGTTCTCATATTTGATGATTTGGATTCAATTGCCGATATCGGAAGTTCAGCTCCAGGGCAACCAGTATCTGAAGAAGATTACTACTATACTAGGTAATTTATGATGTCCACATTTCTGTATATTTAATTTAGTCATAATACTTCTTCTGTAAACAAACACAGTATATTTGTAGAAACAGCATGTTTTTCTCTCTGTTCTGCTGTAATTGAATAAAATATTAATATGTGAGGTTTGAAGTTCTCATAGCAGTGAAAATTAAGATTATGATATTCTGTAATGTGATGCCATTTAATTTAGTTGGTAGGTATCAAGATTTTGAAGAAACCTGTTGCTTCCAAGGTAGAAACTGCCCTAAAGAAGGAGGCAGCAGGTTCCTCCAAAATGTTAATAAAAGTAAAGTAAAGCACTGTGCTGTGAAGAAATGGAGTGGAAGTATAGCTCCACCATTCTTGACCTCAGCACTAGATTGAGATGAATGGTCAGCTTCACGCCCCTGCCACTTTACCGCCAGGGGAAGAGTCCCCAGTACCCATTAGGTTGGAGGCTGGGTTGGCCCCAGACCTAGTCTCTATGCTCCCAAGAAGAGAAAATTTTGCACTGCTGGGAATCAAACCTGGGCTGTTGAGCCCATAGCCATCTCAGGAGACCATAATGTTAAAATACTATATGCAGTTCAAACTTCAGATCGATAATATCCAATACTGTATTTCTGGATTTTTATAACTTTATTTCCTTTGAACAGACATGTTAATCCTATTAAATAAACTTTATGTGTTTTTATAATTTTTGTAGTGTTCTTATAATCTAATTTCATTGAGATTTTACCAGATGCTGTGCACTGAATATGAAAAATATTTTTGAATGAAAATTTGATACTGCACTGTCATTTTACTTCTCCAGTTTTTAATAGACCAGTCTTTTAATTAAGTTTTGGCATAACCTATCCATTTTTACAGAAAGGTTAATGGGAGGTGTGATTTAGTTATTATATAACTTGGGATTCTTTCTTACCCATAAGTCCCTGTGTATCAGTTTTACTATCTGAAAATCATTAGGTGTAACCTCATATGTAAATTTTTAATACATGAAAAGAGATGCTTTCAGTAGTACAGTATTTGTAGGCATGTTCATGTAGGTAGTACTTGACTTGTCAGAAATTAGACTGAAAAGAAATCAGTGCATACTGTCTGAATGTCCACTGAAATAGATTTAGAATTATCTCATTTCTGTGCAGCTTGTCAGTAAGGTTATTGAGGATTATTCACTGTCATATTTGGGAATGCATATGTTTACAATTAATAGCATGGCAGCTCTTTTAATTTTTAGGTAAGACAATGCTAATGTCACTCAGAAGGCTGTCCTAAAATTTGTTATGATTCTAAAAAGTGTACAAGCAATGTTAATGTTATTTGTATGGGAAACTGAAATAACAGTGTGGTGCTGTCATCTGTGTGTGCATGCATGCACACTCACCCACACACCTTACACAGATGCATTTGCTTTAGGTTTGATGTTTGTGGTATGGTGTGGCAAGAGATTATGTGGTCTGACAGTAAAGTTCGCGAACTCATCACGGTAAAAGTCATACATATCTCATTCCTGAATATCATTGTGGTCGCCAAAAGTACTCCTCTTGGGAGGCTAGTCACAGAGGCCAGTGCCTAGTCCACCATTCAAAACAATTTTGGACTGGTTTTGTGGAAAGGCCTTCAGAGCTGCTGTTGTATTACTCCTGATGTCATCAAAAGCCTTCCTTCCAGTATTTCCTTTATCTTCGGGAACAGAAAAGAGTCACAGGGGGCTAGATCCAGTGAATAGGGAGGGTGTTCCAGCACAGTTATTTGTTTACTAGCTAAAAACTCCCTCACAGACAGTGCTATGTGAGCATGTGGATTGTCATGATACATGATCCATGAGTTGGTGACAGCAAACTAAAATGCACTCAGACAATAATAGACACCACTCAGAAAGAGACTGCCATAGATCAACAACAACACAGCTGTGAAATGCTGATATGCCAATGTCATCAAACCACACTAAGGTTTCTGTACACTGCTGCCACGGCAATCAGACAATAGCAAGTTCACGAACTTTATTGTCAGACTTGGTATGTACAAATCTACAACTTCCATATGGATTTTTCTTTTGTTTGTTTTGTAAAATGCCAGTACAATGACTGCAGGAACCTTACTTTCTAGATTCTTCAGCGTATTATTCCATTTTCTTATATTGCAGAGTTGGTGAAAAACTAAATGAACTTCTAGAAGAGTTCCAGTTGTCAAATTGTGTATCAATCATAGCTACAGCACCATCTGTTTTAAAAGTCAACTCCTCCCTGGTAGCACCACGTGGTTGGCACATTTTCAAAACTGTGTTGGAAATTCCAGATTTGAATAAGGTTAATACTCGTACTTACGTTGTTTTATGTAATCATAACTTAATTTTATGTAGGTGATTATTATTTAGTCTTTTGTCTTCTGTGTCACCATGGAGGATTTGTTGAAGGTAATCATAAAACAAGGGGCACATGGTAGCATAGTTGGTTGGGGCACTATACTACAAGCCAGAAGGTCACGGGTTGAAGTTCTGATGAGGTCATTGGATTTTTTTTTCAGTTGACCTAATCCTTTCAGCTGCACTATGGCCCTGGTGTTGACTCAGTCTCTAACAGAAATAAGTACCAGGAATATTCTTGGGGGTAAAGGGTGGCTGGTGCATAGGGCTGACAACCTTGCCGCCATCTATGAGCCGATTGTCTAGAAATTGTGGGTTTCTCAACATCTCACAACCCTATGGGCCTCCGCGGCTTGTTATCCCGATACCTTTACTTTTACTTTTACTTTTACTTTTAATCTTAACTCTTTGACTGGCGTGGGCTCATTTTTGCGCCTGGACAATGCCAGCCGTTCTCTGGCGTTGGCGTGTTTTAGCACTTTGATACACTCTTCCCTTCTTTGCTGTCTTGGCACTCGTCAACCAAAGACATATTTATGATAGTTTTTGTGCATGGTTGTAAAGGACCCTTGTTGACTTTGTGGGGGTCTATATTACTGTCAGAACCCTCCGAGAAGGAAAAGGTCAGAAAATATTTCACATTCATTCAGTTTCACCATGGCTTCACGCAGCAAGTGTCGGAGTGTTCCTACAGACCAGCTGGAAAGTGTTGTGAACGAGATTTGTGCTGATGATGAAATAATGATTCCTGAATTAGATAAAGTTGATGGTGACAATAATACAGTGGTAGACAATGATCCACAAGACAGTAATCATGAACATTTAGCCACCACGAGTGCGGTGCCTGACACGCCCATCTCATGGATGTACGGAGACATTGTACCAACAATAGTTCCATTTGCTAGTAGTTCCGGGATCAAAATTGATATAACACATAAGATGCACCCCTTTTCATGGATTAAAATTTTTCTGGATGACGACTTAGTAAATCACATCACAACTGAAACCAATCGCTATGCTCACCAGCACTTCAACACACATGAGCCAGCTCCTAATTCTCGAGAACACAATTACAAATATGTCACACCAGATGAAATGTGGACATACTTAGGAATTGTGTTCATGACAGGAATCGACAAACGCCCCGAAATTGAAGAATGTTGGTCCACTAGGCCCCTATTTCACACTCCATGGTATGGACAAAAGATGTCTTTGCGGCGGTTCCAACAGATCTCGAAATTTCTTCATCTTGCAGACAACGATGCACGACCAGCCGACTGTGAAGATCGCCTGTATGAAGTTAGGCCAATTATAGACTCATTAGTGTGGAAATTTAGAAACACATATCCCTGAAAAGGAAATTGCAATAGATGAGGGAATGATCACTTGGAAAGAACGTCTTATCTTCCGAGTATATATGCCTGACAAACCTGATAAGTACGGTATAAAGGCTTATCTTGTTTGTGAATCGACAAGTGGATATTTTAGGAATTTTGAAATTTATTGCCGAAAATCAAGACCTATAAAGGAATTAGTTGTCGATCTGTTGGGGCCACAGCTTCTAGATAAAGGGTATCATCTCTACCAGGATAACTATTACAGTAGTGTAGAATTGTGTGAGATGTTATGACAGAGAAATACCTATGTGTGTGGTACCTTCAGAATGGACAGAGTAGCTCCTGAAGAATTAAAGGATGACATAAAAGATTTAAAAAAAGGGAAATCTGTGTTTTCTAGGAAGGGGCAGGTTCTCATACAGGTGTGGAGAGATAAAAGAGACATCAAACTTATCTCCACTCTTCACACAGCAAAAATCGTAGAATCTGCAAAAACGAATCGCAAAGGAGAAAAAATATGCAGACCCAAGGTAATTCGGGACTAGAGGGGTTGACAGGGCCGATCAAATGCTGCATTATTATCCTTGTTCCCGCAAAATTGTAAAGTGGACAAAGAAACTGGTGTTTTTCTTGTTGCAAATGGCAGCGTCGAATAGTTTCATTCTATTCAAAAAGAACACAACAAACAAAATATACAAGAAGAGAAAATACAAATTCAAAGATTTTATATTGGACTGTATAGAAAAAATGACAGAACCAAACAAACGGTGTGGAGAGGGAGAAGAGTCAAGAAATGAAGTGGATGATGAATCTATTGCTTCAGACTCTAGTGCAGTCACGCCTCCGCCCACGACCTTGAAACGACCACCAGTGAAGGACCCAGCAAATCGTCTAGAGGGAAGCCTGAAAATACACAAAATGGTCCATGTTCCTCCCAGTAACAAGAAGAAGAATGCTGCCATGAGAAAGTGTCACATGTGTGCTAAGCACAAGATTAGAAAAGAAACAAGTGTCATGTGTGCAAGCTGTGGTGTGGCTCTCTGCAAACTTTCATGTTTCAATGTTTATCACATGAAGAAAAACTACTAAAAAGGTATGGAAAGACGTTTTTTGCATAAAATATTGTCTTTTTATTAGTTCCTGAAAATTTATTTTTTAAAAACCAATGTTTGTTGAAGTTATTTTAAAAAAAGTAAACGCATGCATCTTAGCAACTTAAAGCCTAAAGGGTCTGCCAGGACAGGGGTTGCATTTAAATACCCTTCGCGCCAGTCAAAGAGTTAAAACAAAAATATGGCATCCATGCCAAGTCTATTCTTAGGTTTCAGTTCGACTGTGATAGCTAATGAATTGCTAAAGATGTTTATATCAGATTTTGTATGGAGATCTTGAATCAAGCAGGAAAATTGGAGAATTTGAAAACGGAAATGCAGAAGAATGAGATATCTGTCTTAAGTGTCAGCGAAATGTGGTGGAAAGGACAAGGTGAAATAAGAAGTGGTGATTATACAGTATATTATTCTGGAGGTGAACAGGCTGAAAGAGGTGTGTCAGTAGTGGTGCATAAAAGTGTAGTGAGGGGTGTTGTTAAGAAGATTGTTTGTAATGACAGAATTATTGCTCTGAAGATAAAGGCAGAACCAGTAGATATACTGATTATGCAAGTATGCATGCTGTCATCAGAATATGAAGATGATGAAGTGGAAAAAGTGTATGACACAATTGAAGAAATTCTTCAGGAAGATGGAAGCATCATATTGGGAGACTGGAATAGCATTGTTGGAGATGAATCAAATCAGAATATTGTTGGATTACATGGGCTAGGAGACGGAATCACAGGGGTCAAATGCTTATTGACTTTTGTGAAAGAAATGGACTGATTGTTACCAGCACTTGGTTCAGGAAGCCAAAGAGAAGACTTTACACATGGAAGGTACCTGGGGATTGGAGGCGGCATCAGCTGGACTACATCCTTGTGAAACATTTTTTTTTTATATATATATTTATTAGCAATCAGAATAAATACATTCTTTTAGCTAATTTGCTAATTTAAACACCGTCCTCGTGTGCTTATTGTGTCGTGATGAGGGCTCCTCCAATGAGAGATCCTCTAACCATCAAGTAGATCTGCGGGCCATAATTTCTTTAGCCTTCTTCGTTGTTGTTGTTCCAGTAGGGGCTGCAGTAATGTATTGCTATGGTGTCCTAGTTTATCGTG